CTATATATATATATATATATATATATATATATATAACTTTATATGTCTATGCCAGAGTTTATTGTATGACATAATGTAGTTCAGTGCTTCTGGGAGCGACACCCAGTAATGTTCCTCATACTAAATATTGCTTTTATCTGTTTTGTCATTTTAACGATTTTAGATATTTTAAGTGAATTAATATTGATTTGCCAATTTGTACACGAGTGTCAATTCAGCCTGTTGGCTGCCATGTGACTTGTCTTTGATTTTAAAGGTGCCCTAAGCGATATCAGGGCATTAAAATAGGAAATATTTAGAACAAGACAATCTGTATGGTATTGACACATACCACCAAGTATCAGCACATTTGCATCATTATTTCATACGTTTGGCGTTTGAAACAGCACAGAAACTAGCCCAGAGACAAGTTGCTTGATTTATCGGGGCCTCCATTTAATCGGCCCAAAAATCCACCAAGTAACCGTTTCCCGTCGACAATTTTCGGGAACTTCCGCGAAAAATGGAACGCGCTGCCTTGGTTCCATGGATCGAACGCAAGAGTTCGAAACCGATTGACTTCAAATTTGACGATTTTTGAATGGTCAGAACCTTGTATTCAATTCCTCTTTTTGTATATACTTGAATGTTATCATAACACTTATCATATCGCATGTGGTAGCCACATTCATACAGTTTCTCATACCAAGAAACGAATTTTATGACATTACGCGAAATGTATCAATATGTAGCGGAAACTCAGGATGACCTGCAGTTCGACTGATTCAGCGCGTTCGTGGTTAACCACGTGACTCGTCCTCGGCTCTGGTCGGAAGAAGTCGGAAGTGTTCGCGAGCGTTCGGAAATTTCAAAAATGGCCGACACCACTGCCGGCGGCGGGAGGCACGTAGTTTTTCACGGCGTTCGTACGGCAAAGCGGCATCGAATTTTTGCTCCATGACTATCGGTATGGGATAGGATAGGGTTGATTCAACATACTGCGTGAAAATGTGACAAAAAGACAGACTTTTGAAATTGAATGCTCCCAGCCTACTATCGGCCAGATATCGCTTAGGGCACCTTTAATAATAAACCAGTCTACTACTACTACTACTACTACATGTACTACCTTGAGTTCTCCGTAGTTCTCGAGCAGATACTCGTCTGTCCAGAGGGAAAATGCTGGGAAGTTTTTGGCCACACCTTTGAATAGGACGGGCTTCCTTCGACTGGCATACTGTGGATACAGTAACACATGTATATGTTATATGTCAATTCACTAATTAGGTAATGTCTATTGACAGGCACATAGTGCAAAAATTGTTATTAACAGGAAATCAACTACCACTGTGACAACTTCTACAGGCTCTCATTATTTTCTGTATACAATCAGGGAATGGAATGAACTTGAGCCTAATGCACAAAAAAAGTTTTTCATTTTTCAAGTCTGGTTAGCAATTGTTTACACTAAATTACAGGAATATCCTGTCTTACACACTGTCAGCTATTAGCGTCTGCTATATATATATAATTAAGCCTTAGGGTAAATAACCCACCCCATGGTGCTTAGGATATATATGCAGGTTACTTGAGCCGATGACCTAAAAACTGGTAACCATTTTATTTTTGCAAGAGGCACTGGAATAAAACTGTACAGGTAAATAGGCTAGTTAGACAAGAAATGTCAGGGAGAGTTGCATTCTTAAATTTTACATTACGTCAGCAATTTGTTTTTCTTTTGTTTCGAGGTCGAATTTCTTGCGCAAATGAATTTACCTTACCCAAACCACTATTAGCCTGAGTGTCAGCCTTGTTAGCTTTCGTCCGCTACCCAAGGTCCGCTCCCCGCCAACGTTGGCGGGGAGCGGACCTTGGATAGCGGACGAAAGCTAACAAGGCTGACACTCAGGCTAAACCACTATAGCATCGATGCCTTAACCATTACAGCACACTACAGTACAGTAGACCCAAAGTTATAGAGTGTGCACACACAGGATACTAGTAACTTTTGGCCTAGTGTGCTATACATGTAGTGTCCTTTACAGGCTGCATAAATAGAAGAAATCGGTCTAAAAAGAATGTAGCTGGCCAGTGAAGTTGGCCGGCCATAATAAATAGGGTCCAGTTTGCCTGCATAGAGCAAGGTATAAACGTTACATAATTTCTTTTTAGGCCGATTTTTACTTTATTCAGCCTGCAAAGGAGTCTGGTGGAGACTACTATAATAACGTTACATTGATCTGGCCCTTAACGGTTGGGTATAAGTTAAATCTAGCTTCATAAATCTGTCACTACAGGGTGATTTAATGAAAATAGATATACTGCATCCTCCCATGGCAGGGTCAGCGGCTCCGAGTTCCTTCTCCACCCCTAGAAGGAACTCGGAGCCGCTGACCCTGCCATGGGAGGATGATATACTGTACTTTCTCCCAAAACTCCAGCGGGGAAGGCATGTCGTGCAGGACGGGGATGTGGCCCTCCGGGTCCCGATGCCTTCCCAACTCCTCCCCGTGGCCCCTCAAAAGCTCGGATTCACTCTTCAAAGAGGGGAGAAATGCGCAACAGAAAATGACAAGAAACGGGAAACTGCTTGAGATCTCCATGGCGTGGTTTTACAGACTTCTTGAGACTGTCTTTTCTGTAAGAAGTTGTGAGACAAGTTTGACAACTGTTGCTCTTCACTTCCGGGTTCAGCGCATCCCATTGAAATATGGGGGTGTACACTATTCGATTGAATATTTAATTTAGCGGTAAACATTTTTATTTTCCTACAAGAATCCTAAATTCTTTTTAAATAAAAAGTTGAAAGACTACCTAAGTTGTTTTCTAGCCCCAAAAATGTGATCATGTTGATTGTTCGGGCATTTGTATACTTTAACTATACACTTACACCCCATGGATTGAAATAGATTCGTCTGAGTTGAACTTGTCATGCTGCATTCTGGGAAGATTTTAATTGATAAGTTACTAGTAGTCAATTTGGGCTTCGAACTCCATGGTTTAATGGCGACGTGGACGTTCTTCAATTTCTTGGAAGCGCAGTGGACGACACGTGAGCGCCAAGTTTAAGGTTCTTGCTCTTCGTACACACAATAATTAGCACTCAGAACAATAAGTAAATTAGACCACATGTGGACAATTTCCACTCGAGCTCTGGAGCACTTAAGTATTGTCTTATGTAACGTTTAATAAGAGTAATTTGCGTATGGCGCCCTTGCCCCTTTGAGATATCCTTTGATAATATTGGTCAGTTCTCTAACATATGATTATGAATTTTGTATCAGAAAGCAAAATGGGCTTTGATTTTTGTGAGGAAAAGCAATGTGGATTTGGGTTTACGGAAATGCCTGGGTGCCTGCCAGGCCAGGCTAGTTGGCCTGTTCACCTGGCTCCAGGCTACTCAGATCCCTCCGTTCATATCCTCACGAAAGACAAGACATCCAACAAGCAGCTGCGCCCTTTTAGGAATGCAACTTATCCAAGGGTGCTTGTGTAACCTGTGAGGGTTTATGCATCTGTATCTGTATAGCTGGTATTACCGCCCTTCAGCATTACACACCAGCTTCTGTAGCGTTCTGGGCGTAAATCAATGATGGTATGACAGGGACCCAGGTTTTCTGTAAACCCATGTGGATTCCTTTTCAAAATCTGTAACATCTATTTATTTATTTTATCACAAGATGGCTGGGTAGCCCCATTCAGCTTGCATCAGCTGTTTTCCAAGTGGGCCCAGCAAAATTACAAGACAGGGCATTGTTACATACAGTAAAACAAGAGTGGACAACATACAGTAAACATAAAAGTCTGATGCGTCAAAACAGAGTCATAGTCGTAACACTCAAAGTCCTAGCCATTCAATGATTTCTATATTATAAATCATATTTGTCATATTTTCCAGAAATATGCCATTTGGTACCAGATTCCTACAGTCACCCAGCGGAGCAAAGAACTACAGTACCGACATGGCAGAGCCAGACTTCTTGGACTTACACAACTTTCTCGCCGATGACATCATTCGGACCCGCGAGGGGGGGACTGGGTGGATGGTTGACCGTGCACTGAACGCAGAGAGGTGTAACCCAAAAACTTTCCTCCTCAAGACCAGGAAGTGCAGCGAAAATGGTAGCATCGTGCTGGAGCCCGCGCTCTCTCCCGAGAACTACATCAATTCAAAATCCGAAAGTACGGGCGGCTTTTTTGGTGTATTTGCCTCAAAGAGAAGCGTAAGTATCAGCGAGTCACTGAGCGAAGAGTCGGTTAAGACAACGATAGTGTCCGAGTCATCAGCAGTCTCGCAGCACAAGTACGCCTTCGTGAAAAGTACTGATGCTCGGGGAACGGTTAGGTTCCGCATCGCCCCGAACGCAGGCTTCGGAGCGTCGGTGGCCGGGTCTAAAAGCACGAGCAGCAGCGTGGAAGTGTTCTGCGAAGACTTGGTGAGGAAGTCGGTCGACTTCGAAGACCTTCGCGGCGCGTTGGGTGAGCATACCGTGAACACCAGCGCGACAAACATACAGGGAGAGGACAGCCTGTTTGTAGTCACCGATGTCATAGTGGCTGGCAAGATTTCCTGGGAAGTCAAGCAAAACGTGGAATCTAAGAAGAGTGGAGGTGCAAAGGTTGATGTGGAGCCTGTAAATGTTGGGGCTGAAGGTGGGACCTCCAGCCAGCGGCCGCAGGAACACAGACAAGTGGTGAACAACGCCGTGCTCGCTCTCAAGTTGGCAAAGGTGTCTTACAACAGTGAAGGGAAGATTGTCCGGTTGGACAAAAGCGGTAGCTTTGAGGGGAACTACACCTTTGGCCCTGGAAACGAGGAGAGGGAGGGACAAAGTAAGTATCTCTAACCCTAAGGCTATGGTCTATCCCCCCACACATTGAAATGTCCCAAGTATGAAAATAAGATAAAAAAGAAAAAAAGACTATCACAATGTTGTTATCACTAAGCATTTCAAAAGCGTACTTTGCAACATTCAAAATAGACAAATACTCGAAAGAGCCTGCTTGGTATTACTAGACGTATACCAATTAAAAAAATTACAGCAAATTATGTCACAGACTGAGAAAATAGCTATTGTTTTGGTCTTTTACAGTTGCCATCAAGTTGCTCGGAAGTGGGGAAAATGTAAGGGAAAACTCAAGTCTCTGGATTCACTACATCCCCCAGGAAAAACGGAGACGTCAACGAATGCCTAATTATAAACTGAAAACCATATTGGGCATAGGCCACCAAGTGCTTTCTGATCAGGTTCACATAGATCAGATTTCTCTACAATGCATTGTGGAAAGAGGGTATGATATACATACATGACTTGTATAAAACAATATGAGGTATATGTAGCATATGTTACAGCGGGATTTTGAGGTGATTTAAGCCAACAGTTTTATATGTCAATATTATACAACATTTGCTTTTTTTTTTTTTTTTAATTTGTAAGCCATTCTATCCTCAGAAAATACCAGAGGAAGGTTCACAAATCATGGCAACTACCTCTGAAGGGGCTTGTCGTGACCAGGGAAAGAGACAGTGCATCACCTCGCAGACGCATACCATGGAAGAAAAAGAAAAAAGAAAGGATTTCTTTGAAAAAGGTAACTTATGCACAACATTGATCATAATATATACATACTCTACAAGCAGGGCTTTGCCTTTCTTGCTTATTTTTTTGCATCTTGTTAGGCATTTTAGCAAAACTATCATTGAAATTGAGTTTTTCTCACAATTGTAAAACCTCTTGTTCAAATATTTCTGTCTAACAGGTGGCTGTAACAGATGTCCAAGCAGACAACACCTCCACCTGCGTTTGCAACAGTGAGTTGGACATCCCAAAAGAAGACTGGGTCTGGCTGGACTGCAAGCAGTGGAGGGAATCACTGACAAAACATGGTTTGATCTTCTGTTTTACATTATATGTACAATGTAGCTCCAGGGCTCCAAATAAATTATTCTGCATACCTGCACTGGTGCAGACAGCATTACAATACAATACAATACAGTTTATTCAATCAACAAAATCATACAAAAGCAGGGAATGCTGCATGCATCCCTGAATTGTGTAATTGATTTTTACAATAAGTTAAAAAAACAAGACAGGACAGGTATACACACTACATGTATATACAAATATGTACAAGCACCATTCACTCTGCTATATGCATGCAAATAGCAGGCATAGGTTTTCAAATACATTGAAAATAACCTGCACCAGACCATCTGTACCAATCAGAATTTAAGAAACATGGATCACACTAAAACTGTTCAAAAACCATTGCCATTATTTCTTTTACACTTTATTCAAAATATAGGTGGTACCAGTCAATACACAAAAATAATAAAAAAATACACAATTCACCTAAATAGATACTGCAGACTTTTTAATGAATGGTTTCTAAACAAGTGTTTTTGCTCTTGTATATACATAATTATATGAACCTGCAGAATGTTGTTTCAGAAATTACAATATTATTGCTACCGGTGGTAAATCTTACTAAGTTTGTTAATATGTCATCTAGAAATTCAAGTGGATGTTGAGTATAAAGACTCTGTGAGGACACTGACAGTTGATGAGGAAGATCCAATCTTTGTCATCATGCACAAGATGAGAGACAAGCTTCCTTGTCACAAACAGGTGAGTACTGTTAAATGTTGAAGTTCAGACTTTTTGGTGTATGGGACAGTGACCATCTGTGGTTCTATAGCCATTGGGCCACACAACTTTGCAAACATTACAGTAGGGGGTCTATATATATAGCTATTTCAATGATAGTGGTGCATGTTCAGTCAGTTACCATTGATGCTAATTAGAATACAATGCAGATAGAACAGTGTGTACCATTTTTCAAGTTGTTAGTAAGATGTACAGATGTACAATATACCTATACTAAAATTCAATGTTCATAATGTTTGGGTTTTACATTTTGTACTTCTTTGAAGTCGCAACTGTCTTGGATTCAAGTCTGACAAATTGCATTTTTAATTTTTAAAAAGAATTTTAAAAAATTCTTTTTCCACTTTGAATTAACTGGTCACAAATGCACAAAAATGGTATTTCAAATCTCTTTTTCCAAAGGCCCTTACATACAAAGGCAGCAAGATAGAATATAAAGAAGACACCATCAAGGATCTGGGCGTGAAAGATGGTGACAAACTGATCATGACACGCTTAGTGAAGGATGGAATAGAACTATATTCACAAACATCAGACTGCATTGCTTATGGTGCCACGACAACAAATGTTTCACTCCCCTTGGAAGATATCCAGGTAAGTAACATGCTTAATAAGATGTCAAAAATGTGTTAAGAAGCTGTTATAAATGGAGACGTTGTGCATGAGAAGTACATTTATGCCTGGGACTGGAAAAAAAATCTGATGGCCTTTCAAGTTGGCATCACACACACACAGCAGGAAAATACATGTAGCTCCCCAACAAACTTAACAGTCTGTGAGCTCTGATGGTATGTCTAGCAGCAACATAGCTAGTGTCTCCTTGATCATGACTTTTTCAAGATCTTTTCAAGACTTTTTCATGATTTTTAGAGATCAGCCAAAACAATGTTAGCAGGTCACTGAGCTAACATCAAAGTGACAGAAGATTTTTAGGCAAAAAATACATGTGTACGCTTGAGTTACTGACAATAAAAGTTGAATGACTTTCAGGCAATTAATAGATTTTGTCATTACGCATGTTTAGAAAAAAAGAAACCATTTCTATCATTGCTGATGGAACAATTGTGTCCTCTGTTTCACAGACAATTGGTGGGAAATACCCAGAGCTGAAAATGGATGAAGGTAGAGTGAGGCAGATTCTGCAAAAGGAGTTCTCTACAGATGATCAAGACATTTCATTGGAGGGCTTCCAGCAGCTCATGGAGGCTGTAGGGAAGAAGGTGGAGCGTGACGACATCCACAGGGCATTTTTGGATGATGAAGATAGTTCTGATGATGAGTTCAATGTCCTGGATATGATGTAAGTGGCCTGAGAAGTTTCTGCATCCAAGTAAACATGTTTCCAAGTCATACGTCTTTTGAATATAATTTTGTTTGAAACTAGCATGTGGTAACATGAATGTTCATCTTTGTTGGTATACTTCATTATGACAAAAAGGGCTAAACATTCTTGCCAACACTGAGTAAATTGACTTACCCAAAGCCGGCCAAAATTTGGGTAAGTCCCAATTTTCTCATGATCAGTGTTGGCAAGAATGTTTAGCCCTTTTTGTCATAGCATTTGGTAACTTTAAACATTTTTTTCAACCTCAAACATTGGAGTAAAGAGAATTTCCTCAATTTTTGTGTTATTATTAAAGGAAGGTATAGTAAGATCTCATTGTATTTAACCATATGTATGAATGTGGAATAACATTAGACGGTTAAGACTATAACGTTACTTACATGTACATGTACATGCACAAGACTAAAGAATTTTATCGACGTGTTATTTGCTGTACAAAATATTTTTTAATAACATGTTCTTTCTTGGCCAGGACCTCATCTTTTGAAGGCAGAAGCTGGCTCAGTGATGACGAAGAAGGGAGCTGTGCATCCAATGTGAATCCGAAATTTCCGAGGTACATCTGTCTGAAGTACTAGTATTTTTTTCATTTCTTCCTACAAAAAAAAACACCTAAATGCTACAAGTGACCATATTATTTCGTAAAATACATGTAGTTGTTGCCATACTTTGTTGAAAAATGAGGTTCATTAATTCTATTCTATTCTAATTTGTGTGACGTCGGGTGGTGTAGTGGTAAGAGCAATCGACTATGAACCGGGGAGACCCGGGTTCGATTCCGAGTCGTACCCGGGACATGTCTGAACATACGTCCCGACGTTGTGCCCTTGGGAAAGGCACTTTACACGAATTTCCTCACTCCACCCAGGTGTGAATGGGTACCTAACTTCGGTTGGGGAAAGCCGTATGGAGGTCACCTTGTGGCGCCGAATGGCAGCCGCACAGACCCTTGCGACAGTTCCACAAAAATGTGTGGAACAAATATGTGTATCATGTGTGTATTATTATTTGATTGTTGTGATTTGTATTGATTATTATGTGATACCCTGCATCAATTCAGCCGTATAAAGGCTGCGACTGCACGGGTACTGTTTGGACAATAAAAACCATTTATTATTATTATTATTATTATTATAATTCTATTCAGGTCTCTTAGCTTTGAGGAGCAAGAGTACATGGACAGAGCATCATCCGATACAGAAGCTGAAGAATATAGTTCAGAAGATGGTGGTTGTCTTGTAAAGGTCAAGATACCAGGACTACCAGAGCAGAAGACACTGCCGACTGTGCCGGGGTTCTCCGAGGCAAAAGTCGAAGAAGCCAGCAAACTCCTGCAAGCGAGATTAAGTCTGAGAAGCGAGAATTTGCAGGCAGTAGTATCTGACATTGATTGGGAAACAGTCGACCAACGTCGTATGAATTGGTCAGATGTACAGTTGTCAGGTCTTGATGACCTTGGAGAAAGTGACAAGTTTAAAGCCTTAAGGCTGCTTAAGAGGCAGACAAGTGGGAAGGATAAAGAGGATGAGGAGGTTGTCTCTAAATCTTTAAGTAGTGTTGAAGAAAGGGTGCAGTTAGGGCCCAACCTGGCAGGTGGTGCTTCACCTATGGATAGTAGCCATGATGAGGCAGAGAAGTTCTCTTGAATACTGTAGTACGTAGGGAAATGCATTATTAACTATTTTTTGCCTCATTTGATGTTGATCTTTCAGGGAAGTTTGTAGTGAAGTTTAAATTAGTTTTAATCTATTTACTAAGTACAGGTAAATATCATATCAGATATACGGATATGCCTTGAACTAATAGTTTTGAAATATTTGTTTAAGTATTATTGACATTTCATGAATTATTACTGATTTCTAATGACTTGTCAGATTTCTTTACTTGGAATACGATTATAATGTTACTTACAGGCTACTCAGTAGGCTACTGTATCTTAGAAGTGCTGGACAAGTGCAGTTTTGCATGAATGTAGATAGAAATCAAGTGCTATGCACGTACATGTAAAGACAATAATTGTTTTACTCTTTAGTATGAGAGTGCTAGTTCAAAAAGTTTTGTGTGTGTTGACTTGTGCTTGTTTTCATTGTTTTGTTTTGACAGAAATACTAAATATATCTTTAAAAATCTGCAGTGTACGATGCCAAGAGGCACAGATATGATGTTAAATGGTTTGTTCCTTGATCAAGTGCCAATGATACATGTGTGCCAATGAATTGTAAATTTGAATGAACATGTGTGCCAATGAATTGTAAATTTGAAAGAACATGTGTGCCAATGAATTGTAAATTTGTTGACCATGACTGTCTAGTAAATGCAGGGGAGATTTGTTTTATGCCCAAATACTTAGAGTTATCCTGAAAAGAAAGTACAATCTGAACAAAAAATCTAGAAAATATTAAACCCCCATGAAGTATTTCGAGTTGTGAATGTCTTGTTTTATTCGTTATTGTAAATTTCTTACTTTTTCTGTACCTGCACCACAGTCATGCATTCCTCGAAACCCAGATGCATACCATTCACTTCTTCCGAGTCTGCGGGAGACCATGTTGACCTCCAATTTAACATTATATTCCTGTCAGTCTGCAGTTACACTATTCCCCCTCACTTCCTAGGACTCTACCCTATTCACATGAAAATGACTGCGGACACGCATACGAGGAAATTTACAGACACCCAAAAACAAAACCTCCTTAACGTTGCACACTGGGTAGCCGGATTTTTTGTGTCTTTTTCTTGCAAAATATGAAGCTTTGTAAAAAGTTTCATCAGGTCAGAGACATGTATGTATAATGTCCTTGATCAGGTTGGTAAGTTATTGAGTAAAGGGACATGTGCTGCAGTGCAATGTGAACCAGTCAGAATTGCCCTGAGGAAGGTGACAGACGGTCAGCGAAGCGTCCGCTGTGAATAAAAAGAGTCTCTACTCAATGTGAATGAATAAATGAACTTTACTGCTCGACAATCGTACATGTTTGACAGTAATACAACAATACTACGAAACTAAACTATCTTATTTCATTTCTTACTACAAACTACTATCTATACAGAATATGAGTTACAGTATGTTCATGTATTGATGGTATAGTCTCGCTTATGAAATAAAGTGTACAGAAATTGTCCTTGTAAGCTATGGGATTCTATCCAAGCTGACTGTGATCCGAGCTAAATGTTATGAGTTTGTGCCTGAGCTGTTGAAAATCAGACGACATTGAGACAGGAAGCTGGCGAGATTTTCCCGCGCCCTCGACGGCCAAGGAAACCGACCTTGTTGATAAACTCAGACAGAGAGGCGTTGGAGTCAGACTGTGGGAAAATGCAGCGCTCGGTCCTGATCGTTTTCTTGCTCTGTCACCTACCTTCGGGTGAGTTTGTCATGTTTTCTGTATGAAAGTAAGCGAGATGTCAATGTACAGTGGCAGAAAACCGTCGGTCGACATTCTCGACAATGATACGAAAATTTCGTACGGTTGTTGATCTGTTTAGCTGCAGTTGTTGCAAGTGTACCATGAGTGCCTAGTGGAACTGGTCGAACTTACAATGTACACATACACACGTCAAAGGAAGAACCGGCGTATATTATGCATCCGGCCTGTGACGTTAGTTACTATAGATGGATGCTACATGTACGCTAGGGCCTTACATTTTGAAAATTCGTATTGATAGATGTACGCATATGTCTGTAGTAGTAGTAGCCTCAAGTCGAGAAATGTGGGGAGGGGGGCGCAGAAACTTTTCTTTTGACTTACCTACAGCTATGTACCAAGGGCATCTTGCTGTGAATGTGACTGCAGGAAAGTTTCTAAATCTGTAATAACGATGTTACTGATGTCAGGACCATTTGTACACAAGTGTGAACATCAATTTGATATCAATACATTGCACTGATACAATTGTTATAGCGTTAACGTTTATTTCTTTTTGGCGTATACTTTTTCGTCTCCCTTTGTTTAGTACTACCAAGGAGGTTAAATTTTAAACCTCCTTGGGCCCCGAACAACACCGAAGACAAGAGAGTGGTACCGAACCATTTCCACAGTGACGCCAGATAATTTCTACATTGGTGACCAGCATAGAAACTAATGGTTCATTTTGTTATTTCTACCTTCACAGAAGAAAAACATTGTTTTTGCTCCGTTTCCTTTTCCGTTCAAATATATAAGGTTAATGACATGGACCAGGTGGCTGTCAACATGGTAATTGGTGCTGTAGCAGAACCCTTCTGGTGTCGGGTTACATTATGTAGCAAGTGGTAGGACGGGGCTGCTCACCCGATACACGAGCTCACCCTTTAATAATACACACACATTGTAGCTAGCTATGCTGTCAGAAAATTAAGCATTTCATGTTTCCTGTGTGTCTTTATTGCACAGTGTTCTGTCAGGTCCGTTTGACCTTGGGCCCTCATGAGAACGAAGGTCACGTGGAGGTGTACCACTCGGGAAGATGGGGAGGGGTCTGTGATGACGACTGGGACATCAATGACGCAATGGTCGTCTGTCGCCAACTAGGTTTGTTTGCTTGTGTATCTATTTGTTTATTTGTAAATCAGGTAAATCATGAAGCAAATTAGAGGGTAATAATAAGATAAATACGGAGGTTCTTAATTACGACTGGGCATGCCCAGTTTCATAGGTGAAGGCCACAATCGCAAAACGTAAATACAACACGTCAGACAGTGCTTGATACATCTCCAGACATGTTTGTTTACCTCTTGGGGACCTTAAACGTTGACATATTACCCACAATGCATCACACTACGCACGCGCAGTCTTCGCTGAACTGCAGGTCAATATCATGGAGTCAAATGTTTGATCCCATGTCAATATATGACAACAACATGAAAAATATATAGACCCTGCCATAGAAACGTTAAAGTTATGAATGTTGTACAAAATTTACATGTAACCTTATGGTAAAATTTATGGTCAAACTCCTTCGTTATGAAAGTCCCAGGTCATAACAACATTTTATTACGAATATTTTACAATGGCTGTTGCATTTTTGGATGATTTTAGGTAAAGAAATTCAATTTAATTTAGACCCAAGGATGGACTATATATGAGCTCTTTAATCTTTTTTGGCAATTTGTTTGCATAGGGTATCAGAGTGCGAGTGAGGCATCGGTGTTTGCCAAGTACAGCAACGGCAGTGACGTAACCACATTCTATTGGCTGGACAACGTTCAGTGCTCTGGAAACGAGAGCAGCCTGGAGTCTTGTCCCCGGAGTAACCAGTGGGGAGCACACAACTGTAACCCCGTGGGGGAGAATGCAGGCGCGGTGTGCTCAAGTGAGGTCTACAATGAATGAATAAATGAATGAATGAATGAATGAATGAATGAATGAATGAATGAATGTTTATTTGCGTGTCTTGCGACTTTTGTCGCCAGCCCATATGGGCTTATAAGACACCAAAACATAAACATGAACATAAACATAGGTACAGAAATCATACATGTGCTCCGCCTGCGCGAAACCTGTAATGTATTGCACTTCGAACGGCGACTGTCTCATTTAAGGTCGTATTCACATTCTAGTATTTAAGAATGACATCCCATATTCAAATGTGGCAGAAAAGATATCGTCTGCAACGGGAGAAATTCTGATCCAATGTTGACCAGACATTCAATGAAAACTGTGAAAAATTTAGGTTTCCGCACATGTATAGTACGTTTTACCGACGTGCTGGTCTACATGCTTTAAAAGTCTAATTCGCAAAGTAAAAACGTTACACATAGTGTAAACAGCAGAGATATTTGCTGTCGTAAAATGTTTTAATTTTTTTTAAAAAGACGTTAACAGGCCCAGAGACAGTTTGACATATGAACATCGATGAACTTGTACTTATTGTGCTAAATTTCCAGTTTGACCCCCCCCCCTCCTTCAGATTGTGCTAGGGACTCCTGTAGCAAAAACGGAGCCTGTGTGACGTCACCTTCACCGGGTGTTGGGAACTTCACCTGCACATGCGCAGTGGGATGGACAGGAGAATTCTGTCAAGGTGATTTGACCTATTCATATTCATTCGAACCATTTACAACAAAATCAAAAAGGATGTCTCCATTTTCTATGTATCAGCAAACTATGTAAACATATTTGTTGAAACTTTGTAACCAAGGTGTCGTGCGTCTGGTAAGCCAATCAACATTGTCTGCTCCCTAATATGGTGTTTGCACTCACGTGATCATGACGTAATCATTTTCCGCCATATTGGGTGGTCAAACGTAACCTGTATGAGGGTTACCGTCGTTATAAATACAATATTATTAATGATGTTAGCGGTGAACTGTGAATGAATGAATTGATTACTGAATGAATGAATGAATGGAAGGATGGATGGATGGATGGATGGATGAATGGAAATAGCTTTATTAACATGTCTTGCGCTTAACACTTTTAATGTATTTTTTGTTTGTTTTCGTGGCCACATATTGTTTGATTTTAAACACACAGAAGATGTGGACGAGTGTAAACTTGAAACCTGTCTCAACGGAGCAAACTGCACCAACACGGGCGGAGGTTACACATGTTCCTGCCGGGACGGCTACAGTGGGATAAACTGCCAAACAAGTTAGTTTTTACCTTCTTTTTACAGCCCATTTATTTATAAGTCATAAGAGAGACACAGGGATATGATGTGCTGATTTTCGTAGCTCAGTCGAAGTAATTTACAGTTCGAGGTAATCAACGTAATGATTTTAAAGCTTTTTTGGAGTGTATGGGTTTTGATTTAATAGATTCATTGTTGAAATATTAAAAACAACGAATTGTACATTTTACAAAGCCAAGGAGAGCCCTACTTAAATTTCGTCTAAAATTTACATTCAGGAGAGCGCGATTGCAACGTACAAATTGAAGTACATATACAATGTAGTAGTGGGCAACGTTCAGTTTCAAACCGCGTACGATTTTCTGTAATATTACAAATACATGAATTTATAAACAAAAAAGACATTTCTCTAACGATTGTTTGCAGCATTTGCGACGTTTCTTCTTACGACATGTAATTTCCCACAGACCTGTGTGATCCCAGCCCCTGTCAGCATGACGGTGTGTGTGTCCCTGAGAGCCGGCGTTACCAAGGTTACCAAGGTTCCCATGGTTACCGCTGTGACTGTCAGCACGGCTGGGAGGGGACTCACTGCGAGACGGGTAAAACTCAGCCTCTAACAGGCTTCGGGAGCGGCTGGAAAGAGTGAGCCTGAGTACCATCTGGATTTTCGCTCCGCAACGCACGAAAAAAATCCGGATGGTACCCAGGCTAGGAAAGAGTAGAAATTGACCAAAATAGAAAGATGACATGTCGAGGGAGTTGATCCGCTATTTCGCGTGCGGCAAAATGTACTACTCTCTATTTGGCCAAGGACATTATACACTGTGTATAATGTCCTTGATTTGGCCAATTTCTATCTACTCTTTTTGGTTGGTCATGATAAACTCAACATTTCTTCAGATTTAAGTCGGATTTTGTGGTTTTCGGTAGTTTTTTATGCTTTATATGTGTATATCTCAATTCCTTGTAGCATCAGGTGTCCTAACAACCTGTACGAAGAACCGCATGGAAATAGACATTCCGCGGGGCTACATTGGGGGGCTCCCGGCGGGTTACCTGCAGCTGAGGGACCCGACTTGTAACGCCACCGGCAACGGAACGTTCGTCTCCATCTCCACACCACTGAGGGGCTGCGGTACCAGGAGGATGGTGCGTCATATATTTTGATTGGTCAATCTACTTCTTGTTCAGATTGTAAATATTTTATCATGAATAATAAATGAATAAATATTGTCATAGTTGTAAATGTTGGCTCAATTCATGTTCTGAATTTTATCGAACATGTCATGCCAATGTCAATAAAGCTGAATTTGAAATTCATTGATCCAAAGTGATTAATCTGTCGATTCAGACATGATTGTAATTTGTATTAATGACCCTACTATGAATGATTTATGTCGTAAACAAGCATCAGAATTCAGCCTTGTTGTTAAATAAAGCAATAAATAAACAAAACAAACACTGAATACCCGTCAACAGAGTTGTCGTTATCTGATGAAAAATGAAAGGTAAACGGAGTGTAATTATTACAAATTTATGGATGACACTTAACATGTGGGTTCTGTATGGTACTATTAAAAGGAACAGATCATCGCTATATTTCTTTTTTTTTTATATTCCAACATGTAATCACAAGACGTGGTGACGGCACACTCAAGTTTTTTCAACTATATATATATAAATGCTGTCACCAACACAGGGGACAATACAATACTCATTTTCACCTGAACGAAGTGAGGAAAGTCGTTTTAAGTGCCTTTCCCAAGGGCACAAGATCGATGGCATGTCAGGACTAGAACCCGGGACCTCTTGGTTCCAAATCCATGGTTGCTTTCCATCACGTCCAAAGTTGTAAAATGATTTCTTTTGATGAAATACGTATGTTTTCTCTGACGTCCGTAGGTCACCAGTGATGACATCATCTACACCAACGTCATCACCAACAGACGGGTGTACATCCGGGGTATCGCGACCCGGATTCAAAGCGTAAGTAAAAACACAGGTTTAATCATACTTACAATATATCACAGAAAATGAGTTCACCGTACGGGTAGATCTTGACGGCTACAGCTACCCTCGTATTATCGTATTCATAGATCAATCTTGATAATTGATACTGATACCATGAATGCCAACCATCTACATTTATCAACATAATTCAAACTAGGCTGCATTTAAAAACCGTAATCTTTAGTTGATTTGTATATATCTATATACAATATGTATATGTATATGTAAGAGAGAAAAAGGCATAGAAACTATAAGCAACTCAATCAGTGTTGCCACATGAAATGTCAAGTCGTCTAGATCTATGTTACGGACTTTTGTTATTCAGTGATTTTGCTACAAATGCTGCATCTACAGTTCGCATTGTTATCATGAAATTGTTATCATGCGTTGGTAGTTACATGTTGAAAGTTGAAAACTTTTGTTCCAACACAAAGAAATTCTTTCTCCTACAGCTTTCGACCTGTCACCCTGGTCTTTCTCAGTAGACTGACCCAGGTAGTGAGGCTTGTCACTTGGCTTCTGTTTCATACATGATCCAAATATATGTTGCTGTTTCTTTTAACGCCAGGTCCGCATCACCGTGCAGTGCCGGTACCCCCGGGTGGTCCAGGCCAAGTTCCACTACCAACCCGACAGCCGCGTTATCGAGTTCAGGGACAGCGGCACGGGCAGGCTGGGCTTCGAGATGAGGCTTTACGCCACTTCCGCATTCCAGCGGGTGTACGACCAAGGAAACCTTCCCATTCGCGTAAGAAAAATAACTTAATTATTACGTTCGCCAAGAAGGTTATGTTTTCAGTAGCGTTTGTCCGTCTGTTTGTTTGTCGGTCTGTCTGTCTGTCTGTGAACAGCATAACTCAAGAAGCTTTATAGGTTAACATCATTTGGCGAAGGTATGAGATCATGAAACTCTTGATCTTCCAATGAAAACAATGTCGATTCAAATGTTTCCCTTTTCCCCTGAAATTCTTTTCTATCTTTCTCTTTGTCTCACTGACTGTCTGCCCCTCCCCCTCTTCGTCTTTATTCCTTTACGTGGATATATGTTACATCATACATATACTCTGTACGTAAGATAACGTTATCCACACATGTATTTAGCTTTGTTAGAGCCTTAGTTAAGTTGTAGAAGACCATACAAAAGTCTCTTTACTTTTTTGTTGTGTCAATAAAGAATCTTTTATATACTGCAGGTAAAGCTGGGAGAGCCCCTGTACGTGGGAGTGAAAGTCGTGGGCGGTGACCAGGGCCTGGCAGTCTTACTCCAGACATGTAGAGCTACCCCCTCGCCCGACCCGGACGACACCACTGGATTTCTCTTCGTCGTGGACGGGTACGTGTCTGTCTGTGATCCCTTGTCTCAATTACAATATCTATCCTAACAGCTGACTTTTCGTTAGCATTCACAGTATATATTTCAATCCTCTTGTTCCATTATATATTTCCTAAGGAACGGGCCTTGTAAAGGAACTTGGACGTATCTGTATGTTGCCGACTCCTTACAGATTTCTTGTTTTGATGTCCGTGAAGACCAATAAATAAACATGCTTAAAGTTAAAACTTTTAATCCAACACAAGTTTTAACTTTAAACATGTAACTACCAACACAGATGAACTTTCATGATAAAATAAACAAACAAATGAATAAATAGAATTATGTTTCATTGTTGCTATTAAAAAACACAACAGGAAGATACTGATTTGAGGTTGGAGGATCCTGCCGTCAATTGTGTTTTTTTCTTCTTTTATTTTATTTATTTCTGTATTATTTTACCAGGGTGGCACTACTCAGTGTCATAGCACTGCTTTTCAGAGTGGCCCTGGGTATTAATAAAAACGACAATAAACAAAACAGGTACATTTAGCATGAGGACTAACTTTCAATGAAACATTGCATTTATTTCTCTCCTTTTGTGCACCTCAGGTGTCCGGTGGATGATACCGTGACTCTTGTTCCTTCTCCTGACGTCACAGAGAGCAGGTTCACCATTCGGGCTTTCAGTTTCATTACCAACGGTGAACAGGTAAGGTCATTCCCTATAGCACGTCGGCAGAATGTACAGCACCTGCGCAAGAACACGTAATGCATTGTACATGTACATAGCACTTCAGAAGAATGTATTTCCTATTGGTCCTATTCCTAATTCCTAAGGTCCTATTGGCACATATAAGTTTAACACTCCGTGTGTAGTTTCAAAATGTTATGTCGGAAAAAATATTGTCTGCAACAGGCAAAATTCTGATGCAATGTTCACCAAAATCCAACGAAAACCGTGAAAAATGGGGAGGTTTGCGCAGGCGCAGTACGTTCTGCCGACGTGCTATTTCGCATACAAGTAGGGAAGGAATGTGTAAATACAGCGAAACCTGTCTTTATGTCACGAGAGTCAAACTGTTCCCAAACTCAAAGTTGTTTTGTTATCAATGATATAACGTGATTAACATATGTTCCTTCCATATGCCTTATTAAGGTGTTCCTACACTGCGATGCCATCGTGTGTAACGCGACAGACCCGCAGTCCAGGTGCTCTCAGGGCTGCGTGACGTCAGCAAACGTCACACATGCAGAGCGCATCCGCCGGTCAGCTGGGAACGGCAACCACCTGATGATCGGCCCAATCATTGGAAAGGTCTCTAAGGATAACGGCGGTTAGTAGATGTCTATTGCAAGTCTGCAGAACGTACTGCGCCTGCGCGAAACCCTGATTTTTCACGGTTTTCGTTGGATTTTTGGTCAACGCTGCATCAGAATCTTGCCTGTTGCAGAGGATATCGTTTCTGGCACAACATTTGGAAACTACAGTCGGAGTGTTAACCTTATCTACGCGAATATGACCTTATATGACAGCACCTTACCACACGTCCATTTAATTTAAACCATAAATATGCCTTTGACATGTCAAATTTCGTTGTTTTCTTTTTTTCAGGCAGGGTCACGTCTTCTATGGTTCTGCTGTTTGCTGTGTTGGCCACGAGCGCTCTGACCGGTTTGGTTCTGGCAGGAGTAGTGCTATTCCAGCCGGCTGGACATCGTTGTGACGTGGCATCGTCGCACTGGACAGTGGCATAGAGACGAACCTTACCGTTTTAAAGAAACGCGTACGAATAGCTAGCCTCCTGTGCAAGCCTCCCGGCGAGTGGTAGTATTGATACTGCGTTTTGCAGAATTTTTAACGCGTTTTTTTGACGGCCATCCTACAACTAGCCGCTCAGAGAAGGTTTGTACCCGCCACAGGCGGCTGGTTGTAGGATGGCCGGCAAAAGAACGCGCTGAAAATTCTACGAAACGCAGTATCAAAACTCCCACCCTTCCGGAGGCCTTCACAGGAGGCTAACGAATAGCTTTCGTTTGCGGTAATCATGTGTATCCAAACGTTAACCACATTGCCTGTGTGTTGCCGGCCCTTGCTTTGGTCAAGATATAATTCTCGTTCTTGTAGATAGTTATGTTACATTTATAACCTAAAGCGCGAACAACATGATAAAACTTACATGAAACAGACAACATGGAACATTTAACGTTTTGAGTGGACATGCCACAAACAATTTACAAAGTACCGTTCAGTTAGTTTAAGACTACGACACATTGGATAGTGCGTTTTATTAATCTTCCATGTGTCTTAAAGTCAGTTGTATTTCTCATTTGTTCTTAATATTCATCATGTTCTGTTACATAAAGACAACGACCTTGACTCCAGGACGTTAGAGTTTTTTCATGTACCATAACAATACATCACCCACAAGTCACCTTGATAAGAAGCGGCCGTCAGGTCGCCCTGTGCCTCTCGTGATTAAACAAATAAAGGTTCAAACAAACAGGTCCGACAACCTGAGATCATTGAACCGGTGAATGAGTGTACTCTGGACCGAGACATGAACGGTACAGCTGAGGGCAGTGACCTCGACAGTGCCCCCATCAAGCAAAACATCAATGATTTTTCTTCCTAATTGTTTTCATCTGATTAATTGATATGCCTCTTCGTGATTGACGTACATGTATGTCTTAACAGTATGTAATGCCCTTGTTATGTGTGCATGGAAGTTAAGACAGAGAGGTCATCGTTCTGTAGCACGTTCTCAGTACGTTAGTTTAGGTCAGTGGTGTCATTGACCGGCCTTTGCACTCTGGTGTCTGGGTTCATTGCTGAGTTGGATGAAAAGTTTCAAATTGGCCATCTAATGGCGATTTGATTTTATAACGCTCAACTGTTCGTATAATAAAACTTGGTGGGACAAAAAAAAATCCTGTCGATAGTACTGTGAGTGTTTCAAAAGTCAGTTCAACAAAGGACTTTTTACAGAAGCAAATGTCCTTGGTTCAACCTTGCTGTCGGACAACGTGAACTGAAAACTTGTCTACATGGCAAAAACAAAAAAAACATAGACTTTGTTCATGTCGTCAGAGTTTTTTTCTCTTATCAGCAGTTCAGGAGATCGTTCGCGTATAGGCAGCACGTAGAACCCCGTTTCCATGGCAACTCCCGCCATCCTGAGAGACAAGCGATTGTCCTTGGCAATCTGCGCAACCATTGGCTGGAAAATCGAACCGGCCCCCGGGGTGGACACTTTTTACATCGCCCCAAAAAACGTATCGCCGATAGAAAATACTGTGACTAATCTCCAAGCAGATCCTTGGGTGGGAAAAATACAGTATCAACTCATATTTGCCAGGCAGTATCCAGTTGGCCAGAGAGGGTTAAAGTGCTGGTAGCGACAACAAAAAAAACAGGGCATATATAAAAAAATCTAACGATCATTTCCCCACAACCTCTGCTTGGAGAGTACACTGTGGCCATATACCCCGATACGAACAAACAAAAGTGACCCCCTAGGAATGCATCGCTCAGCACTGATTAGCGTTTAAAAGTCGCTGCCTGCTGCAAAGTGAACTCATTTAGGTGAACGGCTGTTGATCGCATTGGTGTACACAGGACCTGTGGTCGTAGAAGATGAAGCTGTTTATCGTGACGCTCGTCCTACTCTGTGCGGCGGCTGCGGACGCCCAGTGGTGGTCTTCATGGTTCAGCACCTATCATGCCGACGACAGCACACCACGTATAACAGATTTTTTGCTCTTTATTGTGTCCCTCTTTCAATGTTGAAGTAGTCTGTATACCATGCTGGTTAGTTTTCGTTCGCTCCTACTGTAGCTACCAGTTAGCTAGCCTCTACCAGGCTTCGAGAGGATTTCTACTCTTTCCAGTCGCCTCCCGAAGCCTGGTAGAGGCTACCAGTTAGCGACTGTAGGAGCGGACTTGAACTAGCCAGGATGGTACCCCAACTAATCTTATAGAGCATGATTTTATCATCGACTCCTTCACTTTTCCTTAAGTTGTAGTGTACATGTGTTGTCCTCAATTGTCATTTTACTACGAGTATCACACGCTCTTCAGTCTTTTTGTCTATCTATTGATGTACATTCTTTCTATGTACTCTAATTCCTCTATAAGTTAATCAACTTATGGCTTGTCTTTTTTGGGTCAAAATATGGTTATATACTCTTCACGAAGAAAATGCTTTAAAATTTTCATTTCTTAACTTCTTTTTGTCCCTCCTCCAGAGGCGGTGTGGGACGGTTTAAAAGGTAAATTTATTTCTTTTTCGTTGTCGATAGCTGCGTAGCAGGCATTTAGCCTCTAACGGGCTTTGAAGCGGCTAGAAGTAGTGGAATTGTCCGAATAGACGAATCATATGTCACGTTAGTTGGTACGCTAAAAGAGTATAGCTTGCCGTTCTGGAAAACTGTACTCCCTTAGCGAACCAACTCAACTGGCATGTTATTTGTCTATCTGTCAATTTCTACTACTTACAACCGCCTCTGAAGCCTGGTAGAAGCTAGCGAATATTGTTCCTTTGTATGCTAGAGATATCAATATTACATCAGGTGTACGTAGACACTTGAAAGGACAAGATTCTTGCACATATTTCATGTAAATGTACTTAAGAATATCCTTTTACATTCTGATAGACTTTAAACTTTAAACTTTATTCATCAAAACAACCTGAATTGGCTGAAACAGCCTGAATTGTGTTGTAAATTACATGTACATTCACATTAACAATTGTAACATTTTAGCGTTAAAAGATTAAGTGTTAAAAGAAGTATATCCGATAATGACGTATTGTATAGAATATCGATAACACATTAAAATATAGACAATATAGACGGTATATTACCTACGTTGTGTACGTGACATCCTCTACCCGAGCAAATATTGGATCAATTCGACACACGTCGTTACAGCTGTAACATTATGCATGACGCAATCCTCGAGTTCGTTGCACTCTCCAAGCAGACGTTGATAGGGAAATAGCCTGGCGAGGTAGCGGCGGTGCAATTTTCCGTCTCGTAAACGGTCGATGCCATTTGAAACGGTCGATGCCATTTTGCTGACTGGTCGATGCCATATCCGAGCGTCCAAAAACGAATATAAGTAATATATACCATAAAAAGTAATAGTCTAATTGCAAATATAAGGGAGGATCGTGTAGAATTGTAAATATAAGTGAAAAAAGAAGCACAAGCTCGGATTCGAACCCGGGTCCAAAAGTGTATCTCTAAAATCCTAATCTACATATCTACCCCATGTGTATACCCTAACCTCTACGCCACGAAACATCATGGTGTGGATGAACCGTGCTTATACACTTAAAGTTAGACGTTCTGCGATATGCCATCGACCGTTTCAAATGGCATCGACCCTTTACGAGACGGAAATTAGCAGCGGCGGTGGGAGCCAAACTAACAAGACGGGATTCCAAGCTAGATTTTGAACACTGTAACCCTTTCATACGTTCTGTCACATGTACGTACAGTGTAAAATTGGTACCTGAGTTCGATTGGGCAGGTGACAGACATTGGATACTTCACTGGCAATTTGATACTGTCTTGCAATCGCCGAAAGGTCTACATACTACATGTGAGCGTGGTAGTTTATTGTGCGCCAGCAAGAAAGAAATAACGTTGGTTTGATCTTGCGAATGTAGTGACGTTCGGAGTGAACCCGTTCGGAAACAACTTCGACAGTATGCCGAGAACCACGGACATGGCCGAGGAGAAGGGATGGACACAGTTCGGAGAGAAAACATGCTCAGGTTAGAGATTGTTTGTTTGTTTGTTTGTTTGTTTGTTTGTCTGTATGTTTGTTTCGTCGGTGAAGGTCAGACATTCAGTTACTCAAGCAACTAGCTGGATATGATCCAAATGCCATCATAAGACGCCAGTCTTGTGGCTTGGTATTAACTACTTTTGTGTGTGCTTTATAAGAACCAACGAGGAAGGTGACAGACGGTCACCAAAACGTCGGCTGTAAATAAATCACTTGGTTGTGTAAAAAGGGTCTCTTTACTCAAGAACTAACTACGTTTTGTGACGTTTATTTTACAGCCGGTACGTGGCAGGGTTTCCGCTACGTCAAGAACAGCGACCCGGCCGTCATCCTGCTGTTTGATAAGAACGGCTACATCGCTGGGATGCAGATGGGGGTGAGTGTTTGTTTGTTTGTTTGTTTGTTTGTTTGTTTGTTTGTTTGTTTGTTTAAAGTTAAAACTCTTGGTCCAACACAAAAAATTCTCTCACCTAGATCTTTCTACCAGTCACTCTGGTTTTCCTCAGTAGACTGACCCAGTGAAGCTTGTCACGTGACTTCTTTGAAGTGTGACGTCATCACTGGGTCAAAGGTATCTGGTAGACGATGTCGGCCCCCGTCGCGGTTCAATGTAGGGTGATGGGCCCTGATATATATATATTGTTTGTTTGTTTGTTTGTTTGTTTGTTCCGCATAACCGGCAAACTGCCTTCATGGGCGTAGTGCACCAGTTTTGTACATGTAAGTGCAAGCTGCGTAAGACTGGACTGTTTGGTACGAACCAGTCACACCGGGAAGGACCCCTACTTTTTTCGAGTGCCGTGTGTTCTTTAACGTAGCCTCCATAGCAGGCTTATAGAACTGGGGGTTTGGTGGTCTACGGCTGTTTTCTGATTAGCCCAGTTCTAAAAAACGGGGGTAATTCAACCAGGCCATCTATGTTGTCTATATGCTACCAGAAAATAGCACATAAAAGCTCCCAAAGACCACGAAGACCCCCCAAACCCCAAGTTTTTGGCATGCTATGGAGGCTATCTTTATCGTGGGTGGGGTGTGGCTCTCCCAAACACGGGACCTCCATATACGTTAAATATTTAACATCCTATCATTGGATACCTTTAAAAATGTTTAGAGTTAGATGTTTAAGGGTTAGGTGTAACAAGTCGTTCGGTGTAATGTAGCCAGCTGCCGCCGCGCCGCGTGCCTGCGAAGCTGGTGTAAGGGCGGTTATACCGGCTATACAGATACAGATACAGAAAATTCGCAAATGTACATCTGAAATTTTCTCAAAACTTGTGCACATCGCGCAGGTATACAAGAGTGATTTGCCCTCTGACGGCAGCATCCCGCCCTCCCGTATCACTCCGCCATGGATAGAGGACAGGAGCAAGGACATGTTACTACTCACTGCCTATTTCATCCAGCCAAGTGAGTATTCGTGCGCCAGGACTACTTTGTGAAAGTTGACAGAATAAAGTTGACAGGCAGACCCGGTTAGGCAACACTATGTCCCGCAAAACGTCTATAAAAAATAAAATTGCTTGGTAGAACCAAGGAGGTTGAAGAACTTTTGATCAAACTTTCTTGGTGCTACTTGGGCAAGGTTGTCCGAAAATGTCAAGCCTAGTAGAATTCAGATGTGTGGTCGTGTGGCGTAACGACATATATAGCGCTCGACTGGGAATCAAGAGGTCCCGGGTTCGAGTCCTGACATGCCACCGACTTTATGCCCTTAAGGCACTTTACACGACTTTCCTCACTTCACTCAAGTGAAAATGCGTATTTTTCTGTCCTGTATTTGTCTTCATCGTTGGTGGCGGCATAAAATAAGTTGCCGCCATAACCTGAGCCATGAGTGAGTCATAGAATGTTGGAACATAGGAAAAAATGTCGAACGTAGAATTCAACTTTTCGTTTTCCTCACCACTGACAACAGGCAGGATCTGCGGGGCCGGCCGTACGGAGGCCAAGTATCAGGCAAAACATCTCTGAAAAACATTTCCGGATCAAATCTGTTTGGTACAAGTTACATATTATTACCTGCACATCTAATCTTCACCGACGTAATTGATTGATTTGATTTGATTTATTGAAATTGCAACAGTGCAATACACGCGGAACAGAGGCAGCTGTTGCTGGTGTTGTGTCCCGCACATAGAAACGAATACTGGACAGACAATACCCATTTTCACTTGAGTCTAGTGGGGAAAGTGCCTTTCCCAAGGGCACAAGATCGGTGGCATGTCAGGACTCGAACCCGGGACCTCTTGATTCCGAGTCGCGCACGCTGCCGTTGCGCCACATGACCCCACGTAATTGACGTAATTGAATTTTTTGTTTTCCTCACTATAGGCAAGATCTGCAGGGCCGGCCGTACGGACGCCGAGTATCAGGCGGAAGGCACGGGGACGGGTCTGTACATCCAGACCGGCCCGAACTCCACTTCAGACGTCATGGCCGCCCCGCTCCGACAGGCCGACGCGGACGGCACGGACTGGACCAGGGGAGAGTGCTTCTGGGCCATGGGTGAGGTTTTTTTTTATATTCCAACAAGTAATCACAAGACGTGGTGACGTCACACTAGAGCTGTGTACCGGTACGCAGTACCGATACTGTACCGGAAAAATTGATTAGGTACAGGTCCAAAATACCTAATCCCCCAGTACCGGTACTGTACCTAAACAATTTCACACCAATTTTATGCCTATTTGTGACCTCAAATGGGTCCCTGTGTAAGGACAGTGTGTTCATGAAAACAAAACATCTTTAGTTTTGCCTATATTTTATCTGAGCATTCGCCATAAACAAAGAATAAACCTTAACTAACAAGTTTATTAATGTTTTTTGTTATTGAAGGAGTTCAGAAGAGCATATAAATTGGTCGAATTGTTCAGGTACAGGTTCAGGTCCGGACCTGTACCTAAACCTGTGTACCTGTACCTGTACCTGTACCTAAAATTTGTTTAGGTACACAGCTCTACGTCACACACATAAGTTTTTTTCAACTTATATCAATGCCGCCACCAACATATGGGACAGTACAGTACTCATTTTCACCTGGGCGGAGTGAGGAAAGTCGCGTAAAGTGCCTTTCCCAGGCACAGGATCAATGGCATGTCAGGATTCGAACTCGGGACCTCTTGGTTCCGAGTCGAGCACTCTGTCGCTACGCCATACGACCCCACAGGGTGAGTTTAGTCTCCACCAGACTCCTTTGCAGACTGAATAAATAGCTAGTAGAAATCGGCCTAAAAGGGATTTGATTGGCCAGAGGAGTTAGCCGCCCAAAGAAAGTCCATTTGCCTCCACCAATAAGGTCAATGACCTGAACAAGACGGTTACATCATGTTGCAATTTTATAGCAGGAGGGATTTAGACTCATGTCTGGCCTTCTTATATATGAATGTGTTTGAGTAAGAATTAAGTGTGTGAGTGGTTCAAAACCTTACAGTCTTACGCAGCTTGTACATGTACGCACATGTACAAAACTGGTGTGTTACGCCTAAAGGCGGTTTACCGGTTATGCGAAACAAACAAACCAAAAAAAAAAAAATTAACAGAGCGAATCATATGCAAAGGTAAACATTATGCATTTGCTTTGAAATTTTACCTTTCTAGTTCACTTTTCATGATGGGTGACATCCATGCGCGCTTCAATTTTCTCACGTTCCCTCATGATACAGGTCAGCACTACTGGTACAAGTTCCGCCCCGACATGAACTGTGACGATTTCTACCCGGTCTTCCTGATGTACAACGACGGGAGGCTGAACGGTTTCGGCTGGAACATCAACACAGTCCTGGACAGCCCTCGATACGAGAGCCCACCAACAGGCGCACTGAGTGTGAGTTTGTTTGTTTGTTTGTTTGTTTGTTTGTTTGTTTGTTTGTTTAGGATCTTCATTAGTGTGAGTGGTTTATCACATGCCATCAATCAGGAATCGTCAAATCATAATTGATCATAAGGCACCAGATTGTAAATAGCTGATATATCTCCTGAATTACAGAATGTAATAATACTCTTCCTAAGAAAACACAATAGCTTAGCTTTAGTATCATTATGGACTAGCTCGTTGGAATTATATCTTAGTATTAGTTTATGTATGTACCATTGTTGTTTCTTTGCCATACATTGTACCAGCTACAGTTGTTGAGCAATAAAGTTGATTTGATTTGATTTAGTCTTTCAGTGTTTCAGTCTTTGACTTGTAGTCTGCCTTTGCTGTTGTTTAGTGCGGAACAGCTGTGACTTGATTGTTCTAAGTAGCTAACGTTTAAACCCACAAATCAAAATGTGTTTCCCAGCCCGTGTTAGACCTTTTGGAAATACCGACCGAACCAAGTGGAATCGTAGGGGTAGTCGGGGAGGGATAAAAAGAAAAGAAAAGCTTTGCCGGATCAAAACAATTGTAGGGAATGGTAACGGCAGTAAAAGAGAGCTAAAAAGGGACAGGGTACTTAGACCAGTAGCTACTGTATGTACAGCACAGGGCAACAACACAAATGTGATATGCAAACTGTTACCTACATTAATGTTGACAAATATTAGATCCTTTATGAATAAGAAGTTTGAATTAGAGGCCAGTCTAGAGAATTACTCTGTTCAAATAGCTTGTATTACGGAAACTTGGGCTACCGATGACATCCCTGATAATGTTATGTCCATGTCTGGCTACCATTTGTTTAGGAGGGATAGGCAAGGACAGAGGGGGGGTGGATTGGCTTCTTTCATTGTAGATGACATCCCTACTCGTAGACTCTTTGACCTGGAAAACAAGGAGCTTGAGGTGATGTGGGTCCAACTGCGTCCACATTGGCTTCCCAGAACTGTCCCTGTGATTATTCTTGGGGTAGTGTATCATCCACCAAACAGAAACAACAAAGAAGGGATTAAAGAGATAACCGACCACCTCATCACCACAATCGATCATATTTGCAGTCATCAACCCCAAGCTGGGCTCCTGCTTTGCGGGGACTTCAATGGCCTCCCTCTGCGACCGTTATTGGCGGCTCATCCTGAACTGAAGCAGATAGTCAAGCAGCCTACGAGGGGCTCAGCTACCCTGGACATTATTATTACTAACCTTGCGCAACACTACTCCTCACCGCGGATTATACCTCCTATTGGGAACAGTGACCATGCCTGTGTCATACTCCAGTCTGGAGCTCAGGTAGCAAAGCAGTCATCTGTTAAACTCCCCCGTCGAGTGATCAAATACTCCATGAAGAGAGACTTTGCCGTGGCCTTAGCCATGCAGGACTGGTCTGCTGTGCTCGAAGCACCAACAGTTGAGGACAAGGTCGACAAGTTCTACTCCACTGTCATGTCACTTGTAGACTCTCACTTCCCTGTCAGGTTAAAGACTGTGCAGACAAATGACAAGAACTGGATGACAAAAGGGTTCAACGGGCTATTGAAAGCAGACAAGCCGAGTTCAAGCGGCATGGGAAATCACCGCTATGGAGGAGTCTCAGAAACAAGGCAAAAACTGTGGTTAGACAAGCAAAAAACTGGTACTATCGTAACCACATTCAACATCTCAAGAGTGAAAGCCCCCACAAATGGTGGTCGTGTATCAATAAAGAACTTGGAAGATCACATGGATCTGGCACACGCGTTACCACACATGAGCAGGATGATGGGCATGTGGCTGAGAAGATTAGTCAACATTTTGCTGAAGCCTGGTGCGTGAGTCAGTGTCTCAACATGTTCCCGTTACCACTCACTCGGTCATGTCCTGACCTATGCTCCATCGGAGAAGTTAATGTGCTACTGAAAGCCACAAACCCCAGGAAGTCCTGCGGTCCAGACAACCCTCCCCCACCTTGGGTTTTGAAGGAGTTTGCAGAGGACCTGGCCCCAGTAGTTACTCACGTGTTCAACGCCTCATACCGTGAGGGCATAGTACCAGTCATCTGGAAGTCGGCCAATGTCATCCCTGTGCCTAAGTCTGCTGGTTCATCCGAGGTTAGCAACATGAGGCCAGTGTCTCTTCTTCCGGTCCTGGCTAAATTGCTGGAAAAGTGTGTCCTGAAAAGACTATTACCTACCTTGCGTGCAGTTATCAAGGACCAATACGCATACTTGCGGGGGTCGTCAACCACAATTGCCCTGGTGCGGATGGTTCACACGTGGATGAGTGCGTTGGACTCCCGAAAGCCAGTCTTGATCCGTGCAGTATTCGCGGATATGAGTAAGGCTTTCGATCGTGTTGACCACGCCCTGCTCCTCCAGACTGTGATCAACCTCCAGCTAAGTTCGGGAATGTCAGCATGGATTCATAACTACCTGAAGGACAGACAGCAGAGAGTAGTTGCAAACGGGGAGACGAGCTCCTGGCGTACTCTTACATCTGGGGTACCTCAGGGTGGGGTCATTTCCCCATACTTGTTTCTGCTGTTTATGAGCACCAGGAGAACTGTCCACCCGGATACTATGAATGTCGGGTACGCCGATGACGTCACATTGTCCAGGACATTGTTGGCACTCAAGGCAGATGATGACAGATCAGTCGAAGAGGAAACATCTAATCTCGACTCTTGGGCCAGTGAACACAGGATGACTCTCAATGGCGGAAAGAGTCAGCTACCCCAAATCTGCTTCTGCAGAAGTGTCCCTGAGCCACCTACATTAACCCTGGGGGGAGCGCCAGTACCAGTTGTTAGCTCAGCCAAGGGTCTTGGGTTCATTCTTGACCAAGGCTTAACCTTCAACGAGCAAGTCAACGCAATGGTGACCAAAGCTTCACGGAGACTACATCACCTCAGACTCCTCACTAAACAAGGGATGAGCGTCTCAGACCTCATACAGGTTTACTTAGCCCTGGTTAGGCCGGTACTTGAGTATGGCCATGTGCTACTTGTTGGTTGTAGTAAACAACAGGACCAGGCGATCGAGAAAGTACAGAGGAGGGCCCTAAGGATAATCTCTCTTGGTGGGAGGAGGAGTGTCCCTGTCCTTCCCACTCTTAGGGAACGTCGTGAACTGGCGGCAGTTAAACTGCTCAAAACATGCTAAACCCGGAGCATCCACTGCATGACTTGGTACCGGACGTGAGGCCAGCAGGAACGGGAATGTCTCTCAGGAACTCGGGGGGGATCAGGGTACCCAGGGCTAGAACAAACAGACTGTATAATTCATTCTTACATTACTCAATCCGTCTATACAACAGCCAAATGAAGGCTTAGTGCCTCTGTGTATAATGTAAGTGTTGTGATGTCTCTAATGTACTTTTGCTAAGTGACTCGTGTTTACTTTTTGTTAGGTCAACACAATTCAGTTGTACCATGTACTACTGCTATGTTGATTTTTATGAATAAAGTATAAAGTTTTAAGGCAGTGGTGTAAATTGGCCCTACCATTATGAGTGCGGTTTATTCGGTATATTATGGGAACCAATTAAACGGACCTTAACACTTCTGCTTTTCGTCTACTAGTTCTTATTATTTTCGTCTACTAGTTGTCAGTTCGTTCTATAAGGTTCTAGCGTTGCATTTATATGATTGCTACATTCAAGTTTGTGGCAATGACAAGCAAATTTACTACGATAGGAAATTGAAGCAATAACGGTAACGCACAACGCACAGTTTATCGTGGAAACATAGATTCATCGATCTCTTTTCAGCATGTTTTCATCAGTCATAAGTATGTACAAAACTATTTTGTCCGGATTCTTTAACATACTGTCTGTTTTGTTGTGTCTTTGCGCAGTTGTTCTTCGCCCAGAAACCTCCCTGTTTCGACGAGCACGTCCGGCGTGGCCTGTCTACCCTGCACATCTACCTAGACGATTCTCCAAGCTCCAACTTCTGTTAGAGATGTCGGACACCAATAGCCTTCATAGCACGCCAAAATTTGTTTTTTTTTTTTGAGGGGGGGGTCTTCAGGGTCTTTGGGATCTTTTATGTGCTATTTTCCGATTGCATATAGACAATATAGCCGGCCTGGTTGAATTACCCCCGTTTTTTGCTTAGCAGAAAACAGCCGAAGACCACCAAACCCCCAGTTCTATAAGGCTGCTACCGGACACCAACGCTTCAACAGACGGCATGCATGACATAATCTCCTAGCAGATTCGGTGGGGCAAGGGGACTTA